AAATAACTACTTTTCCTGCATGGCCAGTTTGCCCTTCTAAGTATATGGAAGGTTTGTGGCTACTGTGCCAGTTTATTGTTGGAATAAAACTGAGTATGAGAGTGACACAGAGAGGTGCTATGTCACCGAAGGACATGGTCCACTGATGGGTCCAGTTTTCAGCTGTCGGGCTCAATGCAGGCTCAGTTTTTGTGGTAATTTACCAAACGATAATCTGAAAATAAAAGATCTTTTGAGGTGTAATCAGGATTAGAGCTAAAACACTTCAACAAATCAACAGATTGTAAACAGATTTGATAATTAGTTAATTGTTCAGCATTTTTCCACAATAAATGACTTCATTTGCTGCTTTTTTTCCCCTGTGTTCTAAATCATTTTAAATTTCCCATATAGTATAAAGGTAGATGTCCATGTGTTGTTTGATTATAAAGCAGGTCTAGCTTCTATATTAATACTGTGAAAGTATCAAAGCCTCAGTCCACAGAGAAATGCTCACAGCCTGTATTCAGAAACTGAGCCTTAAAACCAGCCGTCAGGACTTTTCAAACTTTATGATGTCACAACAAAGCAGCCATGCCCACCTGGACCCACCATCCAACCTTGCGGGATTGCTTTCTCTGAGTGTTTTTACCTGATATCTGCTATATTTTTTATTGAATCACTCAGAAAACAGTGAGCCAATCAGAAGAGAGGCTCAGAGCCTCCTCTCTTCTGATTGGCTCACTGACCTGTTGTTACTAGAGCTCCAGAGAGAAGCCTGAGAGAGGAGATGTAAAACTACATTCAGATGGTTTTTGGTTCTTAAAACCACAAATATATCTTCTTATGGATCAACACTTCAAATAAAACACAGGAGAAGAAGAAAATATGGAGCTCTGACGTCAACAGATTCAGCTTTGCGGAGTTTATATTTCTGACATGTTTCTTAGACTAAGAGACTAATCAGTTGACTATAAAATTAGTTGACATATACAACTGACGGTTTCCATTATCAATTCATAAGTCCCTGCAGCTGACCCTCATGTCTCCTTGTTTTCTGTTGCTCTCTCAGGAGTTTGCAGGTGAGGACACCTCAGACCTGTTCCTGGAGGAGAGGGAGGCGTCGCTCCGTCAGGCCCAGGAGGAGAAACACAAGATCCAGATGTCGGTCCCCGGCATCCTGAACCCTCACGAGATCCCAGAGGAGATGTGTGACTGAGCACGAGCTCAACCAAACTGTACAGTACTGCAGACAGCAAACAAACAAAAAAACAAACAAACAAACAAACAAACAAACCCTAACCACAGCAAACACAACAAAACCCAAGAGAGGCACTTGAGTGCGGTGGGAGGCCGCTCACCCTCGGCAGAGCGGGCCGTCCCACTGGATGTTTGTTGACCAAAACAATGCCAATAATCTGTACATGATTACCGCGTCACCCTGTGGCCCTTTTTACATAATCTGCGTTTTCTATGGGGACTTTTGTGTAATATCTTTCCAGAAGCGTTAATCTAAACTCACGTTTTGTTGGTCTCTGTCCCATCCCAAGACCTGCATGATGAGGTTGTAACGATTAGAACAGGTTAACCATCTTGTTTTTGTTCTGTTCCCTCCACCTCCACGTTCTCTTTTCCCCAGTCCCTCTTTTTTTCCCCCATATATTTGTTTATATATAAATATATTATATTTACAGTCTGAGCAGGGTTTTTGTGACAACAGCATATGTGTCAAGTCGGCATAGAGGCTTCTAGACCTGTGGTGAGACAGACGGAGGTGGTCTTTTAGAGGCGCACGCACCGCTTATTTGGTGCCCCACAGCATTGTGGGAGAATGTGAATCTAACGGATAATGAATGAAGGCTGAGAGATGCTGCTTCATGTATCAGCATCTGTTGCTCATGAGTTCTGCTTCACCTAAAAAAAAAAAAAAAAAAAAAGTGCCAGCAGGTTTTTTTTAGTTTTTTTTTTTTTTTTTAGGGAAAGCAAAACTGAATATGTGCATATCATCCCAATTGTATAGCATCTTTACTACCATGGGAACATTTTTTTTCCTTTTATTCTATTGTTTCTTTTTGTTGTGGGTGTGTGCGCGTGTGTGCTGTCGCATAGTCGACATCAGCGTTTTGTTTTCCTCTAAGAGGATTGTTGCTCATTTGTGAGCCTTCATTAATGGGATGTTTTAAGGAAGTGGCGGAGGTATTTATGGGCTCTTGGTTGGTTGCATCTTTATAACAACTCCTGTTTAACTCAGATGGCTTTCAAGATTTTGAATTGTACTAATTTAGATTGTTTACCATGCAGTAGTGCTTCAAGTCACTACCTTTAGAGCAAAATGAAAAATAAAACTGGGTTTACATTTAATTTTGTATTTTTACATTTTTCATTTGTACCTGTTTGAGTTCTGTCCAAATAAACAAAAGGCTTTTTGTCCACAGAGCAAATGAATTGCCAACGAGTTTAATTAGGAAAAGAATGTATAAATCCAAATAAGTACCCAATCTCTAATGGCAAATTTCCCTTCTCAAGGTGTTACATTTGTTGTGAACTTTTTGAACTGATTAAAGTTGAGAATTTTATAACCCTGCCTTTGCTCAGTTTTCTTTATTTCACAACAGGGACCCATTTCTATAGACATTTGTCATCACTGATAGAGACATAAAGGCAAATGCAAAGGCAAAAGTTAAACAGAAATGGGGAAAAATAATCCTGAATGTTTGGACCTCTTAATTAAGCTGAGACTGCTTCTGCGGTCTCAACAGTTTGGACCAGATGAACATGTTGACAGAGGTGCTTAAAGTTCTTGTCCTGGGATGTGGAAAAATAACTATATTTTCATTATTTATCCACATTGACTGAGAGTAAACCTGTAGGAAAAGCTTCCTCTGATAGACATCAGTAAAATTACCAGTAGTTCTTACCACATTAAAAAATCAGAAAACTGAATTTAAAGATCTTAGTAACTATATTGTTCCATCTTCTGTGCAGCTCTATAAAGCTTAAAATACTACGGTAGAAGAATTTTGTCTTATCTCAAGCTTAAAAAAAAAATAACTTCACTAAACCAAGTGAACTAAACTGTTTCTCCACCCGTCTTCTCTTTAGGCAGAGTGGGAAATTTATCCCCTAATAAAAACATGAATGTGCCTTGTTCTTTTTTTTCCTGGAGTAAAGGGTCCAGCTGGCCTGGAGTAGAACCAGGGACCTGCTGCTGGTGTTCAGGGCTCATCATGCTCATACGGCACACGCCCCAACCACTAGGCCATCGGGACGCTCCAGAAGGTGTCTTGTTAAAACAATTTGCCAACTTCAGTTATGAGAAGTTTTTGGTTTTAATCAAGACGTTGGCACATCAGTGTAACGAGAAGTTGTCGAGGAAATGTTGTCCCAGTGGCAGAGCTGCTAGACAGCGTAGCATAAAGGCTTCGTCCCAACTGCAGCGTCCTGGGTTCAAGTCTGATCGGTGGCGCTTTGCTGCATGTCATCCCCTCTCTCTCCCTGACTTTCCTCTCTCTCCCTGTGGCTATCAAATAAAAGGCAAAAAATGCCCAAAAATCAAACTAAAAAAACTTAAACCAGTTTAAACCATTACATTTGTAGTAATAACAAAAAGGTTGATACATGAAAAAGGATCTGTACAGTAGTGGCTGCAGAATGACAAATCCAGATCAGACTCACCTGAACTTTTCTGACCTGGGCTCAAACACGCCTCTCTTCCCACATCCACATAAATCCTAAAAGGAAAGGTAGATGATGATGGCGATGATGACGGATGTCATCTGTCACACGCAGTATTCCTGTGGCATCCGGCCATTGCTGCTCAGACATCTTTGGCCAAGGTTGGTGCTGTGTAAATTGACCCTGCCACTAATCCCTGTTAACTTACTGGTATTACATTAAAGGTTATGATGATGCTTCACCACTGAAAGTTGAAACACTGATCTGATGCAATCCCAACAACCTGTCAGCTGTGATGCAACCACAGAGGAAACTGGTGCACTTAAACACCGGCAGATCGTCATTATCAGACTTTAAATTCTACGTTAAACTGTTTATTTTACTTTACTATGGTTGATTTTGTTTGAAGTCATGAATGTCAGGTGTGGGTTTTCAGTTAGCTCTGGCTCTAGAGGCCTGGTCCTTATGTCCCAGCTCCCCTGCAAAGGAAGGTTTCTGTGGTTATTAGCAATGAATCTACATTTTACATGACCTGTTCTCTTCTGTGGACTCAGCATCTCTTCCCTCCGGTGTATTACTAGTTTCATATGCTTTGATGCTTTATATCTTGCCATCTTTCTAGGACTATAATTCAGTCCGGCTGTAACTGGACCCCCTCCCTACCTTCCTGACCCAGATCCAGAGATCCTCAGCCATTCTCGGCATTTGCTGTCGAGGAGAAGAGGGAACAGCTGGGGTAGCGCCCGCCTACCCACCAAAAAAAAAAAAAAAAAAAGAAGAAATGCCCGCCTGCTCGCTCTACGCTCTGTGCCCCCCTATGCCCTGCTCTGTGTCTGCACTGTGGGCAGGCAGGTTATTAATACCCCTGTGAGTAAGTTTGACAGGAAGAGCCAGGTTAGCACACCCGCCGACCGGTGCCTCTCAATCGGGGTGAGGGGGGGGGGTGACCCTCCACCCCGAGGATCAGGACTTTCAGTTTCTACAAAAACTAGAAGGCTAAAAACTAAAAAGACACAGTTAGCATGAAGGAAAATCACAACTTCTTTTACCCAGAAGAAAGTGACACCACCTGGCTGTCAGCTGGAGCAGAGGTGACAGGTTGTGGTCAAACTGGGGCAAAGTTGACTTGTGAGGGGCACGGTGTCTCCTCTGAGGTGATGTACTGCCACCCAGTGGACAACAAGCAGAAAGAACGTATCAAATGAAGGTTTGGCCTGAGTTCAGTGTCGTTCATGTTTTATTGGTCCCAGTGTTGTACAGTACACACACACTCCAGTACAGATAGAAATGACTAGAACTATACCTCTACCAGAACTTGGGGTTGGGGGGGGGGGGGGGGTATTTAGTCTGAATCCAGATGGCTGGGCTTCACCACAGAGGACAATGAGAATTAGTACAGACTTTAATGTACTGATGTACTGTGACGATCAGTTTAACTGAAACAAGCCGAGTTGTGTTGATGCAGTAAACATTTCATCTTCCCATCTGGCCTTTAGCAGATGGAGGATCTGGACTTTTACTCACACAAGTGTTTACTGGATCTAAACAATTCAGATCTTAAAGTCAGACAACAGACGGAGAGGACTTCAGCTGCCTCAACTAGAATTTCTCATGTTGTCCTTTGCAGAAACCCCCACATGTCTGGGTCCTGAAGAAACACTGAGATCAGTCAAAGTGCATTTCCTAAGTGCTGAGCCGGATCCAGAGTTCTCCCTGCTTTCCAAGGACTGGTCACAGCTGCACAAATAAACAGCGAGCTGAGTGACAGAGGATGCAGTTAATGGTGATCCATACATAGTCACCTGAGTTAAGCAGAGGGGGGAGGGGAAGGGGGCTGACAGGGAGTGAGGTTGAGGACAGGGTCCACAGCTAGGTTATAGGAGGTGGCCGTGCTAGAGGGGCTGTCAGTAGGAAGTTATTTTGCTGTGCTGAGCCCTCGTAGGAGGATCTCGCTCATCCTCTGTGTTCTATTGACTCTTCATCAGTTTGTCTCTTCAGCAGCTTTTTCCCATCAGGTCTTTTATGTTGTCCGGATCTGAGCGTAGCGTATTTTAGGTCTGCAGGGCCAGAGTGAGAATAAGACGGTTCATTATGAAACTGAAGATGAGCAAATGTGTGTGTGTGTCTCTGTGTGTGTGAAAATGTGTGTGTGTCTGTGTGTCTATGTGTCTATGTGTCTGTGTGTGTGTGTCTGTGTGTGTACAGGACTGTACCTGGGTGTCTTCTCTGAACTCTGTCTGGCTTGAGAGGCACTCTTAAACTGAGACTCCAGTCTGGAGTAGATTCCCCCTGCAGGCTGAAACACAACACATCACACACACACACACACACACACACACACAGTCGGGACCAAAAACAATCCAACATCAAGCAGCTGTAAAAACTAGGACAACGGGCTGACAGCTCAACATCAACCGTCACATGATGTGAAAAGATCCTGGTCAAACTTTTGCATTTCCAGCGTTGTGATACTACACATCATTTAACATCTATCAAGTGACACACACACACACACACACACACACACACACACACACACACACACACACACACACACACACACACACACCTCTTTAGTGTCTTTAGACTTGCTGTGTTCCTGGTCTCCAAATCTCATCTTAGTCAAGTAGCCGATGATCTCCACCATGCGACGCTGGTCTGGTTCATAAAGACAAGGATTTAGCAAAAAGAATAAAAACACAACAAGCTGAACTTGCTGTAAACGGAGTAAAAACATAATAACAGTGAGAGCAGAAAGACTAAGACTCAGCCTGATTTGATTTGATGGTACATTACCTGATACGCCTAAAAATATAAAAGTATTAATAACATTCACTTCCTGTAGAGTCCTTCTTTACCTTCCTCTCTCTGAGCGTCCTGGTTGTAGCGCATGGAACGAGAGCTGTCCCACTTACTCTTCTGGACGCTCACTCTACAACACACACACATGCCACAGGCACCAGAGTAAACCACAGTTCGGTCAAACAGCATACACACACTACATGATGACTGTGACACATACAGAAACGAGGAAGTGTGTGTGTGAGGATATTTTATATGATCGTGTTTGCAGATGAACTCACGTGAAAGGTGTGTTGTCCCTGGTCTGTGACTGAGGGGAAGAGACAGTGCAGGTTATAAAGTGTAAAATACTGTATGTGTTATTAGAACAGAGCATCTAAAATCAGAAAGTGTTTCTGGTTGAATCTGCAGCAGCTAATGGAAGTTCAGGAACCATAAATAACAAGTGTACAAGATGCGTTCAGGGACATGATGTTGAACTGTGTCTGTTTAAGCAGATGTTTTGGAGAAGTCATGCATAAACCTAGAGTCAAATTCTCTGAAGCTAAATTATTTTGCTTGGATTAACAAATTATAAACAACTTCCAGAGTGTCTACCTAACTTCATATAAGATATAAATGTCACTTTATTGTGAAAATTAACTTCTACGTATATCAATAACTAAGACATTTCTATAAGTGACACACCCTGTTACAGAACCACCTTGCACCATACTGTTCCTTAAGACCAAAGCAGTGAACAGATGTTTCAGATATTTAGGTTGAATTTGAATTGAATATGAATAAAATCAGTGACTCACTTTCTCCGGTCGGTCTTTGCGTTGGAAGTTTGGAGAGGAAATTTGTTTTTTCAGAGGTCTGTGGGCCTTCTTGGCTTTTTTAGCAGCTGGAGAAAGAGAAAACAAAAAAACCTGTTGAGTTTTCCTTCAGCCTCTGATGCCACCTCCTGGCCAAAGACGGCAACTGTTTTATTTTCCGGTCTTAAAAATGTAGAGCTGGAACAATGAAATGATAAAAATAGACGTGATGAAAATGTAAAGGGAGAGTGGAACGGAGGCAAGGTGCTAAAAACAGCAGCATCTCATCACGTGTCCCCACTTCACTTTCATCATTTAAACTTTGACGGCGACTCGGTGTTGACGCTGCTGCACTACAAGGGTCACAGGAAGCAAAACTCATTGACACATTACATGCAAATAAACGTGACATTTATTATGAGGACAGAGGTGATTAGTCACACCAATACATAACCTGAAGGCATCACATGTTAAATGGTAAAAGTCAGTCAGAGTGATGCAGCATGTTTACTTCTATCATTTCATTCGAGTGATTTCATCTCCCAGTCCTCAGATAAAATGAAAATCAGTGCAGAAACTACATAAGTATAATCATAGTCTGATTATTGATGATAAGAAAGTAACAGATGAGCAACAGTTACAGAGTGAATATTCTGTTGTCACAATATTCTCAGCATCACGTCAGTCATAACTGTCATGACTTTCAATCACAGCCCACTGATGCAGACACACAATGAACCAAATAAACTGCAATTAAACTGTCATCACGGTACCACACTGTGGTTCTAATAGTGATGACAAGTACAGTTACCAGCCTGTAATCAAACCTCCCAACAGCATTTTAATCATGAGTGAATCATGAATATCCATCTCCATCTAACCACTGATTAAAAGAAGTGAAGGTCAAACATCTGATTTTTGTTGCTATGGGAAAAAAATCTTTTGTCTATTCAATCTGTTCACAACTGAAACTCTGCAGCTCTGAAATGACGAGTTTATTACTCAATTAGCTGAACAGAAAGTTTAATGTAAGTCATTTTAGTTATAAATTTGATTATAAATAATTTTAGTAATTTATTAAGTGAAAATACCAAAGGATTAGTTTCTCTGTATTTCTAATATGAAATAAATACTTGAGTTTAACTGCTGATCAAAATCAATTAATAAGAAGAGTTAAAGTAAAAGTATAACTATATTTTTAATTGATATATTAATTAAGCAAATTAGTCAAGAGAAAATTAATATTAATCTCATGTCAGTGTGTGAAGTAGTATGAAGAAGGAGACCCTAACCCTAACCCTGGAGTCTTCTTCACATCTGCACTAAAGTGCTGACGGGATCAATTCACTGTTGTTCATCAAAAAATAGTTTCAGCACAAAATTCCCCCATAAAACCACAAATGATCTATTTTACTTTTCTATTTATGTACAAGATAAAACACGTGACTTCATCTTACTTTGTCATCTTTAGATGTGTCAGAGGACAAAGCTCGGCTGTCTTCTTCTGCTTCCAGGCTAAGCTAAGCTAACAAAGTCCTGGCTCCAGCTCTGGCCCACTCACTCATCTCACTCACTTTTCCTTTAAAATAAGATTTGTTAAAAAAATATCTAATAATCTAAAGTGTGGCTCAGATCAAAGCTGCACGGACAAAAATGGGAGGCGTTTAACACTACGTCACAGATTTGGTTCAAGCTCCAGAATGAAGATTTAACAACATGACGCAGGTGTGATCTGTGTCATCTACTCCACCTTGTTTCTTGGACAGCTCCTCTTCATCCCCCACCTCATCTTCAGTGACCTCTGACCCCGTGGTGTACTCCTCATCCTCTGACAGGAGAGACTGCTGCCTCTGAGAGGTCACACACATTAACATTCAGCTGCTTTATGACTTCACGGCTAACAAAAGATCTCATCATCAACCATGTTTGTAATTGTGAATAAGAACATGATTAACACCAGAATAAAAGCTGATTCTGTAAAATGAAGGGAATGAGGGAGAAGTCCTACCAGTTGCAGACTCCAGTTTTTCAAGAGGGAAAACTGGTTAAAAAGAGAAAGTAGCTGAGGTCAGAACCAGAAAAAGGACAGAGGCAGAGAAACACACAGGTACAAGAGAGGGAGGGAGAGAGGGAGAGAGAGAGAGAGAGAGAGAGAGACAGAGAGAGAGAGAGCACTTACAGTGCTGCCGTCTCCTCTCAGAGGTCCGAGGAGTGTTGGCTCCAGGAGAACATCACAGTCCTGAACCTTTTCTGTACTGGATGGACTCTCCTCAGCCCTGACACAACACACACACACACACACACACACACACACACACACACACACACACACACACCATCAGTAAACAGCATTTCCTTGTACTTCTCACACAAACACACGCACACTGCCAGAAAAACAATCATCTTCAAGTGATCATAGACTTGTGCTCACCCATCTGCAGGAGGTGTGTTGGACAAACACACTGCGTCTCTGTGCAGCAGCAGGTCATTAAGGATTCTGGTCTGGGCCGAGGTCACCTCATCACAGTTCTCTTCATCAGGTACGCTCACTATGTGGTCTCGCATCTTACAGCCCTGAACACACACACACACACACACACACACACACACACACACACACACTGAACACTTAGCTGCATCAAGATTTCCTCCTCTAGCTAGAATCCCAGACAGAAAGGCAGCAGCAGATTGAAGCAGCACTAGAAAAACTTTAACACCCAGGAGTGACTGAATGTCATCTTCTTATCATTGGTGTAGATGTTTGCAATGTGCTGCAAACTGAAGTTTTCATATGTAACTGATCACAGATTGGATTAACTGTGTTGTATTACCACTGCAGAGGTGAATAGTGTGTATTGTTAATGTTCAAATAAAAATCAGTGATGCCTGAAGCTTTTCTTTGCAGTTTGCAGCCACAAATATCTGCTGTACAATAAATATCTGGGTCAGTGGAGGGACGTGGTGATGAAGTGAATTAATCCTGTATCATCATTTGTCACACGGTGTCTTTGTGCTGCAGTTCAGCTCTCATTAATCTCTGTGTCATGAACTGTGAGCTGCATTTATCCATTCTCTATAGCCATGGAGGATAATAGAGGTCAGTGGCCATTCCAGCATGTAGTGGGTGGAGGGCACAGACGCACAAAAGTACAAATAATGGTTCAATTAAACCTTGTTTTATTTATATACTAGCTAAATATTCATTAGTTACCCAGTAAATGCTTGTTGTTGCACTACCACACAACAAAAAGCGTGTGTGTGTGTGTGTGTGTGTATGTGTGTCCATACCTTGGGCATACCAGTGGGATCAAAGCGGAGAACCCTCTGGTTGCAGCAGGGGTAGATTCCTGCTCCATGTAGGCCTTTCTCTGCACCCAGGCCGGGGTACAGCACACTGTCCGGGTGGTACTTGCAGCAGGTCAGCTCTGCACACACAAACACCTGCACGCACGCACGCACACACGCACGCACGCACGCACGCACACACACACACACACATACACTAACCTGCTGTGATAGAATCATTCCCTCACACACATTATTGGACAATGTGATGTTTCTCACAATATGAAAATCACACATATTAACTTTTTCTGCAATACACACATATAGTCTCACACACACACACACACACACACACACACACTAACCTGCTGGCATCGGGAGCAGGTGAGGTAGTTGATGGTACCCCAGATTCTCCAGTAGACCAGGACCCAGGACTTGAGGTCATCATACAGACCAGTGATGTACTCATGCACATCCCAGCTCTTCTGCCTGCACGCACGCACGCACGCACGCACGCACACACACACACACACACACACACTAACCTGCTGGCATCGGGAGCAGGTGAGGTAGTTGATGGTACCCCAGATTCTCCAGTAGACCAGGACCCAGGACTTGAGGTCATCATACAGACCAGTGATGTACTCATGCACATCCCAGCTCTTCTGCCTGCACGCACGCACGCACGCACGCACGCACACACACACACACACAAGCAGGAAGAGGCAGGAAATGAAGAAGTGAAAGTTGTTATAATAATAACAATATTTCTCTCTGTTTATAACTGAGAGTAAAATAAATACAGGAACTGTGATTATATGAATCTGGCTTTTGTTCATTACTTTAAAACAGAATCACAGTCAACAGCTGCTGTAATACCTGGTGTGTGTATAGATGATCTCTCCATGAGCGTCAATGTTGATTTTCCCTGGAACACAAGAAATCTTCCTCTCTGTGTCTTTGGTCAGCAGCTTAAGGCACAGACCACATCTGCCAAACAGAAAAAATGCAAATACTATTCATGAACTCTCTCATGTGAGAAACTAATAACCTGTTTGAAGGAAACTGCGCGGAGAAACAAAGAAGCGACTGTTCCCACTCACCTGTAAAGAGTCAAGGCGTTCCCCGGTGAATCTCTGCTCTGATAGACGGGGTCAAAGAGACGCTCAATTTTCTTCTGGAACAATTTGCTTTAAAGGTGAAAGGAAATAAAGTAAGGAAAAAAATCAAATATTATTTGAAGAAGAATTCAATCCTTGAATATGTAAGGATGACTTGTCATCTGAGGCCTGACCGCCCCCCACCGCTGTTATATCAGTAACCTGCTGACACTAAGATTCACCATCTGCAACATGACACTCAAGCCAGGGCCAAACTGAAATAATAATTCATCCCTGGAATCTAACATCAACCCAGACCAGTGTCCAAACACTCCCAACACACCACTTATACAGGACTTCAACCATTGTGTTCACACTTTTCACTGTTTATACCAGTAACAAATCTTTCTGTTTTATTACTACACACAAAAACTGCTTAAAAAACTTCACAATAGCTTTAAAATAGTTTATTCAGTTTCAAGAGTGAATCAATGGTACTTCTTTAATTAAGGTTACAGGAATAAATATTCATATATTATATTTCATATATTATATTATATTATATAATATTCATATATGTAAATGTATATCAAAATAACCACCGCACACTGAAATGAGTCCACTGTGACTTTTTTAAATTAAATTAAATGTTGATGGTATTTCTGCGTTTTTTCAAAAAATACAATCAACTCAGGAAGGATAGTTATGGTGGTATTATGATGTGCTCTGGGGAAGCCCTGTTAATGTGTAGTTTCTCCTCACTGCTCAGCCACACGCACCCCACACACTGACTGAACGTTGTGTTGATTGTTTACACTCTGATCTCACCTCTTGAACTTGTCTTTTTTGTCCCTGATGTCGTCGGCCTCGTTGTGGTTGAAGAGCTCAGCGATGCGTGTTGCTAGGTTGCTGTTGATGCAGTTCATGTTGCAGGGTGTGGCCACGATGGCACTCATGTGTTTGTGGCAGTACTGGATACATTCCTCCACCTGAACATGAACAAAGATGTACCGCTTTTATAAGAGCCTTTTGCAAGGACTTTAACTTAAATTTCTATAATCCTACTGTCACAAATACTGATAAAACACCACTGCTATAATGTTACAGAGCCTAAAGAAGTACAGCAGTTACCTAACTAAATAACATCTTCACTATTAACATCCATGCAACATCAATTTAACAAAGCTCTATCTATGGGCCTCTTGTTTTCCCTGAACAAAAAATGATCAGTTGTAAAACAGAAAACTATTTATATCATAAATGTAAATATAGGAGAAAGCTTGTAAGAACATTTCCACCATTCAATTTCAACCTTCTAAACAGCAACGTAAGTTCCCTGAGTTACATCTGAAAAACAAGGGGCCCGAAGCACGTCACCACATCTAGCATCACACGTCACAACACTTACTAACGTATCCATCTTCAAGAACTCGGAGGAGATCAGGATTGAGATCACATTGCTGGGCTCTGTAACCGACAAACACCACATGACCAACCAACCAAGCAAACCCCACAACCAACAAACAACACAGAACACACAGCCGGTGACCCACCAAACACACACCACGTTTAGTGACCAATAAATCAAGCACCGTCTAACAGGTGCCAGAAGTGACAGCTCAGGCATTCCCATGTGGAATAATGTTGTATCTGTTATTGTTTTACAGGGATTTTACCAAGCCGGGGTTTGTCCTTGTTTCCCTCGCCTGCAGAGTTCCTCCTGACGTAGTTCATGAGCCAGTCAAAGATCTGTACGTCACAGTGCACAGAGATGTCCACCTCCTCCCATCTCTGGGGGTCCACAGACAAGTACTCAGCGAAGTAACGCATCTCTTTAACCAGAAGATCTCGAGGACATGTGAAGTCCTGCTTCAGGTTCTTGGTCTCATCACACACATGAATGACCATGTTGGGACTGTAGGAAAAAGTCTATATCCATTATTTGCAAAAATATACTAGTCAGTAAAAGTTTCCACTAAAGAAAACTACAAAACTTTTTATAGCTGCCTTTCCAGTCTACAAGGGTTGAGTATCATGTTAACATAGAGCAGATCTGTATGTATCTTTTATTTATGTTAGCTGGCTTTACTGCTATAGGAAACAGCACTTTGTAAAGACTGAGCATGAGTTACTACAACTTACTCTCGTGGCTTCTGAGGTTTGTCATCCTCCTCTACTGAGACTCTTTTCTCTTTCTTCTCCACAGCACCAACCCTGCCTGAGAGCGTCGATTTGGAGCCTGGTTACACAGCAGACAAAAATGTAGATACACTCTGAACCCAGTTATAAAAAAAATACCGTAGCTACACATCTCTGGGCACTGCCATACATTTCATAAGTATTGTACTGCTCTAAAATATCAGAGTGTCCCAGTAGTCTGTGTTTTCTATTGGCCTGAGAACCTTCTAGTAAAAGTGATCTCAGCCTGGTTTTAACAAAAAAGTTAAAAAAAAGTATTAATTCAATTAAACTTCAATGATTTATGAGAGGAAGCTAAGCTGTAAAAGCAGCAAATAAAATAACAATGTCAAGAAAAGGTTTTTTATCTGCTCAGAGTGGCACTGACTAACCTGTAACTTTGCTGGTGCTCTGGCTACTACCTGTCTCCACCATCTCCCCAGTGTCCATCAGCGTGGACAGGCCGTCTGAAGGGCAGGTGTTTCCTTCGGTCAGGGTATTACACTGGTTGTCCACATGAGGAAAACCCCCACTGTTCTTCAGCTCCTCGAATCGACGGGCACACTGCAAGGTCACATCAGCCATGATATAATTTCTTATCAACAAGTCAGGCTTTATGGTGCTAAATCATGTAATGACTGGTGGAAGGGGCTGGATGGATGGAAGGGTGGATGGATGGAAACATTCATAGTTACCCAACATCCCAGTTACCTCCTTGGGAGTGAAGCCTGGAACCAGCTTGGCTACATTGTCCCAGTTTATGGGCTGGGGTACTCCCCACAGAGAGCCCAGCACCATGTCCAAAACTAGGACGTTGTTGTCATAGGGAAAGTTGTTGTTGTCTGAGCAGAAGCGGCTCATCTCTAAACAAACAGAGAAATAAATAACAAGTGGCAGTGAGTCAACACTGAATCCCTCTGTTTCATCATCATATCCAAATTAGAGCTGAAATTATTTGTTGATCGATGGAAAATTAGTTGGTAACTATCTTGATAATCATTTAAGTCATTTTTCAAGTATGAATGCTGCAGTAAATTGAATGTTTTTGGTTTTTGGACTGTTGGTTGGGCAAAACAAAGGGGTTAGGGAAATTTTGATGGATCTTTTTTTCTATTTTCTGGCATTTTATAACCCAGATGAGAAAGTGTAAAATTTAAAACATAATCACCATTTAATCAATAATAAAAATAATAGTTAGTTGAAGCTCTTATCCAAATTATTTATGATTCCTTACCTCTAGTGAAATGTGGTATGTGAGCAATAAGTGATACGCATATTATTAAACTATCATTTGTGAGGTAGTGTGTTGATACTGGTTCACGAGTAGCAACTTCAGCCATCTTCCATAAAGTTTAGACGTATTTCTGTACTAACTTTAACCTTCAAATGGTAAATTCACACAATTTACATAAACGTTACATGAAGTAGTCTCAAATTCATCTAATTGACTAATGGTTGTGTTATACATCATTCACTATAAATCAAGAGTTATTGTGATTTTCAATCATTAAATAAACCCCCAAGGGCTATGCGTAGCTTCACTTTGAGATACTGTTAGCAGCCAAGAGTAGATAGAGTATTTGTGCATTTTTCCAAATGACTGTATACAGTCGATGAGGATTTAAATACAATTGCTGCTACAGGTAAATGACATAAATTCATCTGTAGGGTCAACAGGGTAGTGATGCTAGCGCAGGCCGAGTCCATCTGTCCTCCTCCTGCTCTGATGCTTTTAGATCAAACTAACTCAACCGGTTCGCTACTCACAATTAAAACAACAAAAAGGAGAAAATATTGTTGACATACTTATCTGGTGTGAGAGATTTTCCTCCCCGTCGTCTCAAACAGTACACTAAGCCGGTGTCTGTTTTATGTCATTGTGTACGGATGATGCTGATGCTGCGGTCTTCTCCTACCGGCTAACTGCATCCTCTGGTACTGCTAGCTAACTTTGCTGGACAGGATCTGCTGCCTTCAGGTACTCCTAGTAAAGTCCTAATCACCAACAAAAAGCGTCACGACCGCCAATGATGCGGTCAGTGGCATGGTATTGCTCAGTTGTTGTGTGCTGTTTTTTGTCTCCAAATTATTCTTGTTACTTGCTATGTAGTGACGTCAAGACGAATTGTAAGATATACACCCCATTAACAATTTTCTCCCTTTTATCTAAGTGGACAAATCTTGCACAAGTTCCATGAGTAAAGTAGTTATGCAATCAATAATGTGAGATATTTAAGAAAGAGTGGATCCTGACTTAGGAGTCTTTTGTCAAACAACTATTTACCAGGTCAAGAATGAACCTTAAAGCTCAATTCTATCCATAACGCCAGTAATTCCGATAGTCCTTCAAGGCAGCCTTAGCTTCAATCAGCTAGCATATCAGTTAGCTAGTAAGTACGTACTTATACTTAGGTGTTTGTATATTTTTAAACCCAGTAGCACGGGAAACCTGTTAGCGACAGGCTACACTGACACAATACAAACGCAGCGGTCAAGTCATAAGATAATTTAGACGAATAAACAGTTTGGATGGTTCCGTCGCTATCTACAGCAGTGACTCGTCCTCGTTGACGCAGTGCAGCAGGTTATGCGTTCTGTTGCCAAGAGACAGGGGTCGTAAATCCAGTGTTTCTGCCATAAATCATCCATAGACTTTTGACAAAACTAAATTCAGTAACATAAAAGATAAATTGATATTATCCTTCTTATTATTATCATCATCATCAATATCAATTAAATGTGTGTGTGTGTGTGCGTGTGTGTGTGTGGTAATGATACATATTGGACAAAATGATTTTGAAAAATATTTATTTTCAAAATAATTATATTAAATATTTACAAAATTATTTCCTGCTAATGGTTGAAAATGTGCAAAATTAGCCCCTCCTCAACCTGAATGAATCCACTCCCATTCGTTTCACAAAGACAATACAGAGAACCAAGCAGCCTACAAGTGAGGGCCAAGACCAAACACAAGGTTACATTATTACAGCACCAAACAAGAACACATTGGTGTTGTTCTTACACAGTCATACAGGTGATATATCAATACTAAAGAAATGTAAAGATAACCTCCTAATATGAAACACATGGGCTCTAACCAGAACAGTGCAACCATTTATAACCAGTAACCTTATCAGAAGGTCCAGATTGTGTTAAATGATTTGAATCATTATAGATGACTCTTACAACTACTTGAGCAATTCTTCCATAAGTCCATGGTGTTTCCCCAAATATCTATTATGAGCTGATTATTAGTCAAGTTAAACATTACAAGCACGTACTGACTCAGCCAACCAATGTTATGAGCACACGCAGACCTGCATGCAGAGATATGTACATGCACACCAACATCACAGGTCAGTCTTCTCAGGGATGTTCAACACTGTGCTGGAGGGCATGCTGGAGTTGGATGTTCCCAGACTGAAGGACGCTGGTGTTTCTGTGTACACTGACTCTAGCAGCTCCTCTGAGGATGCTGAGGTGGAGGCTGAGCCGAGGCCGGGGGTAAAGACTTGGGCAGGATTCGGTTGTGGGTGTGCAGCCTTGGCTGTCTGGGAGGCCTGCGTGTTCCCCTGCTGGACCTTAGAAAGATTCTCCATCTCTGGGTGCCTACGGCCTCTCCTCTTACCAAGGACCTTGACGTAGTTGGCTGGGACAAGCCCTGTGGTCTGACCGTCCACACTGGCCAGCAGCCAGCCGCGCACCCTGGGTTGTTGCTCTACACACAGGAAAGAATAAAAAGTCTGAGCTCATCAACTTCAAGGAACGTTTGGTCACCAAGTTAATCAGAGGGACTCTCAGTTTTCTCTTCGCATAATCACTGGTCTGTTGTTGCATGGCAGCATTGCCTTCCTCCTCCATTACCTACAGTTTAATGCTTGCCTCTACAATACTACATGGACAGGAAAACACACTTTAACACACTCTTCTAATATTTATGAGGCTTATGTGTTACCATGGCACCAAGTATTCTTTCTAGGGACCACATTAAAAATACAGATAAGAATTTTGTTATTCACTCGTATAATTCAAATGTGTCTCAAATCTGACTAACTTTACAAAAGTTGTCTATAATATTGTGTGATTATATAAGTTTAAAAAAAAAAAAATAGGAAATGTCACCATTTACCGTATTGAATGTTACCTATTGTAAAACAGAGTAGCAAATAATCTACCACAATATCCCAGACAAGGAGTGGGTGATACAATCCTCAATCATGGAAAACATGTACAAGTTTTTTCATGAAAATATATATATATATATATATATATATATATATATACACACACACACATTATCTTCCATGATAATGTTTAGGAAAATCAAACTTTTAATGGATTAAAAAAACCAGATGAGAGACATGATGCAAAAATCATACTAAAATCCAATATTGCCATATATGTGTTCATAGATTTGCAACATTGAAAAGGCCTGGTGCACCCAGAAATGGGAAACATAAAGGTAGGAAATAATGGCCAGCAGTCATTAAAGAGTTCTCACCTTTAGGGGCGAGATTGAGCATGTCTCCCGCCCGCAAAGAAATCTCCTCCTCAGATGCTGCTGAGAAGTTGTACTCTGCTCTAGCCACTACATGGTCATCCTCTCCGCTGGCCCAGTCAGTGGCTAAAATAGAAACACAAAACATTTTTACATCTTATCGCTTGGAGTAAAAGATTGGCTACATAAACCAATATGACAATCACCTCCTCTGGCATCGAATATAAAAAAACATCTGACAGTATTTGTTGCCTTGGGTACAACTGATGGAAATCTGTAATGTTTTCCAACTTCTTTCCCAATGATCAGTGAAGGTTGTATGACATACTATCTAGAGAAGTGCTTCTCAACTGTCTCCACTGAGCCACAAAACAGTGGTGGTAACTTGTAAATCTAGCATTCACTGAGATTGGCTGGAAAAACACCTGTAAAGTCTTGGGCTTTGATGTGTCATGGTGAGAGCTGCTGATCTAAAGTACAAAGAAAGTCCCAAAAAGGCTGCTACTGAGTTTGTGAAGAGGGGACCACTCTTGAGCTTAAATAGTTATTTGTATAAAAATGTGGAAACACATCTCATCTACAAGTAAATAATCTCGAATGTGCTGTACGTCTCACCATTTTCTTCAGAGCGAGGGCTGGAGCTTAGAAGTTTCCAGATAAGGTAGGGTCCACCCAAGACTACAGCAAAAAACAGAAAGATTGGCCAGGATTTGACAGTCTGATCCTCCATCCCCGGTCCATATCCTCCAGATGCACTAGTAGCTAGGGCATCCGTAGCACTGTCTGCCCATAAGTCCTCAACCTCAGCATCTGACCTCCGCCCCAGCAGCCTCTGTAACCGTCGGTAGAGGTATCGCAAGGTGCGTACCAGGGCAAAGGCTGACAAGACTCGGGTGAGGTGTGCACGCAGCCGCGTTAGGTGGTTAGCTACGTCCAGCACGGCACGAAAACTGTTATACACAGCTGAGAAGGTGGCGTCCAGCATCATGCTGACTGAGGCAAAGGCCTGGACGATGCTCTCAATGGACTGGAAGGCACCGCGGCTGCTCTCCTCTGCCTGCTGCACAAACCTACTGGGGGCAACGTCTTCCGTGTGGGGAAGGCGGCTGTACCCTCCCATGCCATAGCCCCCACCATAGCTGTAAGGGCTGTAGCCACCATAGATAGAGCTCCCATAGGGACTGTAAGAAGAAGTGAAGGAGCTGTAGGATGGACGGTAGGACTGCTGGACGGGACGAGGGGGCACTGGGGGCACCATCCTGGTCAGGACAGGAGGGCCGGCAGAAGTGGGGGGTCCTACAGCTGGTACAAAATCTGCAGTTCTATTTGATGAAAAGGCCAAGATAGAATAAAGGATTAACATAATTACATTAAATTTATAATAGTATGAGCTACTTAATATGTCGTTGCAGGAGGTCATGGATGAGGCTAAGGGTGATGTTTACCTAAAACTACAGCAGATATTAGGTAAATAATATTCAAAACAACCCTTTGGGTTTACAGAACAACCTTACAAATTGAAAATAAGATTCCTCAAACCCTCAAAACGTTACTGGTATGAAACTGCTTCCAGTTACAGACAGTAAGGTAACTTGGTGCCTCATGATAATTAATAATAATTAACAGGAGCATGAAGGGCACCCAGAGGGGCCAATGTCAAACTACATAAACCAGACTTCAGAGGAAAAAATGGATAATAAATAATCTGGATCTGCACCAATATTTACTGGGTTCTTCCCTGACCAATCCCTTCACCGGGTTCAGTAAGAATCGGATCGAATTTGCGTAATTCATCACAAAACACAACCTCCTTGAAGGTACATTTACTAGGTTTCGTTTAATGCACTATGTGGTGTTTCCATTCACAAATAAGGAACGTAAAAGAGGTATCGGAGGAATCATTTGTGAAGTCTGGCGAGAAACTCAGTTACATGCACCAGTAAAGGGCACATGACAGGGCCTTGTTGGGCCTAGCTCATAGGTTAGCTATTAGCACAGCGGTTTCGTTGCTCGATTAAATTCTTTAGGTAGCTAACTCACAAACGGGAATACGATTGGTATATTAGCAATTTACCTATCTAGTCAACTGTTAAATGATAGCTCCGAAGCTCTGCCATATTGTCGTTGTCTTTAGTTTTGGGTTTCTCATCCCACAACTTTTATATTAGCTAGGTATCAACAACAGCGACCCAATTGTAGCTAGTAAACACAAAAGTGATTTTACGTTAGCGAGCTAGCTAACGTGGCGAAAGAGCGTTTACCTGTAATTTACAGGTGCAGCCATTGCCCCTGGAATGCGTCTTTCCCATGGCTTTGGCGGAGGCTGTGAATCCATCACGATAAATGTATGTATATATCCACAAAGTATAGAAATACTGCGGAACCTGTCCCCCTAACTGTTTCTGCTGTTGCCTTCCTGTGCTCCTCGTAATTTCTACTTTGTAATGTTGCAGCTCATGGGTATGACAGTGGATCACACCTAAAGGGACTATAAATGGCATTAAACAATATTGAATTTATTTGGTACATATCATTTAGTCTATTAGATGCTGACACGGATTCCAAGATTTTAATCTCCAGAAAGATATAATGGAATTTCCAGTGTTCCAAGGAATTTCCCTGACAGCTCCTGAAGGCACCATCTGTGACTGGCGGAAGTGTTGTGGTCAAACCGGTATAAATGACAGAAGTTGGCATTACCTCATGAAACTTGGTATTTGTAAACCTAAATATATAGCAGTGGCCACTGTAAATTATTGTTCATGTTTTTATAATTTGTCACTGCTTACTTTTCCCCACTTTTTCTCCACTCGATTAGTATGACCTGCATTTTTCACCTCGGTCCAGCAGAGGGCAATGTAACTTATGAGAAAAGAAAATCCTGCACGTTTTCAGGCTACAATAATAAATATAAAAAGGGAGTTTCCCTCCTCAGTAATACAATGTAGTTAAACAAAGATAGCAAATTTTCATTTGTATCTTACCAACTAATGTCCAGTCACATCGACAGCAGTGAATTTAAATTCAAATTGTGATTTTTTTCATATAAAGAAACATTAACTCTTTCCTGAGGTTCGTATTATATAACTGCCCAACCTGCAACCTGGGAAGTTCTTACATGAAATGTAAACTGAATGAACAGATAAGTATGTATTGTTATTTGTCTTTGTTTGACTAGCCTACTTGTAGCTTGTTGTGCTGTTCTTGCCTCTTTTTAGACTATTCTCATGTATGTTTTAGCTCATTGTAGGGTATTATCCATTGTGTTGTTTGTTTTGTGTTGTTTTTGCTATTGACTGTTTCATTACACATGTAAAAGCCCAACTAGGGACAGGAGTCGAGTATTAGCAATAGCTATAAACTCTTTGTGAAACACATTAGTTTCACCCTGTTGTGAAACTATGTTAAATTGCATTGTCCTTATCAAATAAATAATAAATAAATAAACTTTAAAAAAAAAAGTACACATGATACACAAAGTGTACTGTCCTCAGATTGATTCTGCTTTATGAGAAGATAGCTTTTCACATGATTCACATGATTTCCTCTATTAACACTTTACTGTAGGTGCTAAGATCCGCCAAGAGATACTTCTACTTCTGAAAATCCATTCTAAGAAAGACATTACTTTTAATTCACACTTATCCGAAATAGTTCAGTCATTTCACATAAACCATTGTTCTTGCTAAGCAGAATGCATGTACGCCTAAATCTAAAAAAATATACTGATATTATCTTGTCACATTGAGCACAGTTTCCTACATCAGTCTCCTTTTATTGCTGATATAGCAGCTCTGAGATTTGACTTACAATGACATGGGATGGATTCCCCTCTGGGCTTTCACTAGCTCTCAGCGTCAAGCCCAGTGTTTGTCAGCTAACCCTATAGTAAGGTTTGTGAGGGGGCGATTTGTGACTGTGCTGCCGTGAGGGTGAGGAGAGCTCCTCTTGCGCACAAACAGTGAATGCAGAGGTGTCTTGTGTGGTTTTAGGAGGGAGTCCTGTGATGTCAAGTGTTATGTGTGTGTGTGTGTGTGTATGTGTGTGTGTGTGTTTGTGTGTGTGTGTGGGGGGGGTGTCTGCAGAACTGTCACATTAGATTCTCTTAGGGTATGACAACAGTATGCTTGTGTGAAGCTGCAATGTAGGTGTGTATGTGTGTGTGTGAGGCTGCCGTTTGTGACATAATGGATTCAGAATCCTGGGTGAAAGGTGGGAATCCAAAGTGTTGGCCTGTGATGTCGCTGTGTGTGGGAAGATGCTTGGGCTGATGATGGCCCTGGTATTTGGGGTTTGTGCATCTGTGACCTTTTGCACTGTGATGATATAGGAAAGCCAAAGAATATAAAGGATCGTTTCATATATGCAAAAAAATAAACGTGTAAAAATGACCATTAGAAACACATTGAATGGTGAAACGTATGTGGACACCCAAACCCCCATATGTCGCTATATGTAAATAATCTGCAGCCTCTACTCTTCTTGGAAGTTTTCCACCAGATGTTGGCACCTGGCTGCAAGTCTTTACTTTCATTCAGACACAAGAGCATTTATGAGGTCTAACAGTTATTTTGGGTGATAAAGGCATTCTGTGTTCTAGTTCATCCCAAAGGTCAGGCGTCTGTGCAGGCCAGTCAGTTTATTCTAAACCAAACTTGACAAAAACATTCCTTCGTTGACCTGGCAACATATAGGGAAATAGCCTTCCCCAAACTGTTGTAACAAGTTGGAAGAACACTGCTGTCTAAAGCAGTGGTTCAAGTACCCTCAGTGGTTTAAAAAAATCCAAGAGGTCAAAACATGATTGACAAGATAGAAAAGCAGAAGAAAACACGTTTATTTTTTTCTGACTTTTCTCAAATCTTTGCAACATTATTACTGTAGAAACTATTCAAATGAAATCTTAGCAGGGAATGAACCCTTTAGGTGAACTGCTCACATTCAGCCAGGAAACAGGTTAGCGTAGCTTCATATGAAGAAAGATGGAGACAGCGAGCCTCACTGTCCAAAGGTAAAAAGATCTACCTACCAGCACCTCTAAAGCTCAGTAATTAACACATTATATTGTGTTTATTTAATCCACACAAAAATTGAAGTGGTGTCTAAAGTGTGTTGGACATATCGTGTGTTATTGATTTTAATTAAGACAAGATAATGCATGGAAATTGAAGAATTTAGCAGTATAAGCTCCACAGACAGAATTTTTCAATGTTTGTGAATTCTAAGAAAAATAAACTAATCCGCGAAAAATCATTAAAATTAAGATGCAGCAAAAGAAACACACCTGCAGTCCAACTTGGGACCGTTGCAATATCCTCTCTAGGAGCTTGTCTATTATTACCAACAAATTTCACAAAGTTTGAAAAGAAAATTTGCTGGGGCAGCCACAAACTTACCCTGTCTGTTCCCGTGTTTATACAACAACAAGAGATGACAGTCATGAAAGACTGTCTGACACCATGAAATAGTTCAAAGAATCCCTAAGCTTCCCCTGATAACCTATATATGTCAAATCTCTTTCTGTTCCTGAGTTCAGATTTAGTAAAGTGGTCCAACCAGACCTATGACTTCACTCTGACACAGCATTCCTTCATTGCCTCTGAAATTCCAGTGTTTGTAACTGGTTATGTGGTGTATTTTTGCTGGGCAGCACGCTGGATTGGCCTGAAAGTGATGTGTGTACTTTTCACAAGCACTGGTTCCCCCTTGCGCTGTGTGTGTGTGTGTGTGTGTGTGTATGAGTGTATGAGTGTTAGTGTGTGTGCGTGTTTTGTACGTACGCGGGTATTGCACAAAATATGGATGGCGGGGGGGAAGATGGAGGCCTGTACAAAAGTGGAACTGTCAAGAGAAAATATTGGTGGAACATACAGAGCTCATACAGAGTGAGGTGTTGAAATTGTTGTGTGGCTGCTTGTCAAAAAAGGAAACACAATGAGTTTCTGCAACGTCAAACTAAACAACACCGTAGTGACTCACAGGCAGTATATAATATTATCAAGTCCTGTTCTCTCAGTTGTATGTGGCAAAAGGCAGAGTGCAGTAACTACAGAAAATGAAGCTGAAAAAAAGGGTCTCAAGGCAACTTAGACGATAGAAGTGTCTAACAGATAAATAAGTTGTGAATACTTAATACCTTTCGAGGATGATTATATAAGGATGAAATCAAATACTGTACTCTATTGGACAATCTATTATGCTGTGCGAGTTACCTTTTAGCATGATCTGTTTTACTTTATTCTCCCATATGATTTCATTTAGCTACTGTCTTGTGTATGTAGCGTTACAAACTCAAATGCTAAGACCTTGGGGCAACAAAACAGATTTTTCAGTTGTAGGACATATATAAATTAGCTTTAGCTAAGGCTTGCTGTTTGGTTTTTACCTCTCTTTTTTTATTTTTGTTTGTGCAAATTTCTTCCCCAAAAAAATACATTTCTATGGCATAATAGTATTAAATGTAAAATATATATATATATCATTCATTCAAAAAATTAAAGCAGAATTCTAGAATAAACAAAAACAAAAAAACGCCAGAATTTGAAGATACAGCCACCATATGCACACATTTCACACACGCACGCAACACAAGTAACACAGCTGCAGCCTGGCTACGATAAGCAGAAAGCTAAACTCTTAGTAACATTCAACATAGTCAGTTCATTTCCTGTTTTCATGGTAAATCTACCTACACAAACAACCAACCGCTACAACACGTTTATATATTAAAGGAAAATGAAGTAAGCAGCCTGTTACCTGTCCAGGAGAAGTACAACAAGTTCTCTCCATCTCTGAAACGCTTCACAGATATCAACTCATGTCTAAGGGACGTGCACACACATCTGCATTTGTAGAAAAGCCAATACCATTGTCTCTTAAATTACAATATGCTGAAAGGTGATTATGGAACTTTTGCCCATTGATGCCAAGAAATTGTGTCCCTGTTTAACAAAGTATTGACTATATCTGTAGTGGCTGTCTTGTGGCTTTGCTCACTGTATATCAGTGTTGAATTAATTACAGGAGCAGTTATTCCACTAATTTCTATCCACAATGGCATACATAAGCAGGAAGTATGGTGACTCATATGACTTACAGTACTCACCTATAGAGTAATATATCTAAAAACAATATTGCTATATATACTGAACACTGTGTATGCCCGCATGTATACACTGTTCTGGTCAAACATTCACAGTAAGAACTTGGTGGGATTTTCCCTGCTCAGAAACATGAGTTAGGTCTTGCATGAGGAGCCTTTCTAGCTATACATGAGGTACACTACCTATAATTAAAATATGCCGCAGGAAGTTTGCAAATTGTAGGATCAGGGAAATTGCACTCAGAGAATGGAAGTAATAACTGTTCTCCACTGAGGTGTTGGCTCAGTGATCATATAGGCAGTAAAGATGACTTGCATGTGGTTATGACAT